CTATGTAAGATAGGAATTCAAGAAAAAAACTCCCTAGACCTGAAGATTTCTTTAAGGGAAGAATTTTGACTGCTTTTTTATTTACTTCTGATTCAGTCTTAATCTGAAAAGAATAGTTCTTTCCAGTTTAATGTGGGGGAGGGCACCATATTAGACTCTCCATCCCAGATAGGCCCCAGAGACTATCAAATCTGAGTACAAATTGCCTGGACTAACAAGTAACCTCAAGGCAAATGCAGCTTAAGTGTTTAAGTCTATCTTTCTGGACCTCTGGACTCTCAATCTCCCCTGGATTTGGCCTGGTAATTCCTTAATAACCTTACTAAGCACTCTAGACTTAAACAACATCTTATATGCAGTATATAAAGCAGTACTTTTAGTTGTTTCAAGTTGAACAGCTGCTATGAATGACCTAGCTTCCTATATTCCTAAAATGAGAAATAATTATTACTTTATAAATTTATCTCCTAGTCCATGAGTTATTTGTATTTGCTAAAGAATAGCTATGCAATTTGTTTATTATTGCCTTCTATTTGATGAAACTGGTTTTCCTCAAATATTCTACGACTCGACATTTGTTTATGTTTAGAAATGAAGGACTAGATTGACTAGTATGTATAATGGTATGGGTTTCACCCTCTGCAGCTATTAAGTCTGTTTTCCAAAAACTGACTACAGGCTCTTTGTAGGTGGGTGGGGCAGACGAATCACCTTGCTCAAAAAGTAGTACTAGAGAACTTCACTAATCATGTTATCATCTCTTTATGTTGATGGTAAGGTTGGCCAAAGGAACTGGGTAACCTGCTGTCTAGCCAAGACTTTTAGAAGGTAGACCTCTAAATAATTTCCCTTAAGATTTCTCACAGCCTCATTCCTGCTCATAACATTTGTTGACTGAATTTAGAGTGTTCCTAGATTCCATTTGGAACAACGTTTCCTACTTTGACAATACCCTCTACACCATATTTAATGTAATATTTTCTTTTCTCAGGTGGAGTCATTATTCTGATTCCTTCTGTTTTCTAAATTCAAAGAAATTTTTCAAAACTTCCAGCCTATAGAGGTACTTTGCAGTGTTTCTCTTTTTAGTTTTTCTTACATGTTATTTCAATAGCAATTTGGTTAGAGATCTGCACGACATATATGCTTAATACACCCTTTGACTCAAAGAAATTTAAAATATGTGTGTGGGGGGGTGGTGGGTATGGATGTGGGTGTGTATAAAACCACTATTACAAAGCACGGAGCTGATCTCCCTGTGCTATGCGGCTGCTTCCCACTAGCTATCTATTTTACATTTGGTAGTGTATATATGTCCATGCCACTCTCTCACTTCATCCCAGCTTACCCTTCCCACTCCCTGTGTCCTCAAGTCCATTCTCTACGTCTGTGTCTTTATCCCTGTCCTGCCCCTAGGTTCTTCATAACCTTTTTTTGTTTTTTAGATTCCATATATATGTATAGCTGATTCACTTTGTTATAAAGCAGAAACTAACATACCATTGTAAAGCAATACTACTCCAATAAAGATGTTAAAAAAAAAAAATTCAAAATGTGCATCCCCTCTGACCCAGCACTTATGCATCTAGCTATGTACCCAGGAATCATAAACAAGGGTATTCACAGCAAGATTGGCTAAAACACTGAAAAATTGAAAAAAAAACCCTGAAATCCCATTGAGAGGACAATGACTAAATAAACCAAAACACGAATATGTACAGTATTAAATACTAAGCATCAGTGAAAAGAATAAGGTGGAGAAAAGAAGACAAGAGCAAAAGGGGTGACATGGAAGAACATCCAAAACACATCATTAAGGAGAAAAAATCAAGTTTCAACAGAGTGTGTACAGCATGACCCTACTTGCATTTAATAAAGGACAGCACACACACACAAAAAAAAAAAAGAAAAGAAAAGAAAATCAAAGGTTAGAAACACATGAAACTAAGGAAATATTTACAACCTATATATCAGACTACAGATTAACATTCCGATTAAGGTTAATGTTAAACATTAACATCCATGTGTTACTAATAAATAAAATGATTAAAATACAAAATAAAGGCAATGCATAAGAACAGGAAATTCTAAGAAGATATACAAGTAACTAAAAAGATGTGAAGAGATTTTTAATATCAGTATTAAAGAGAAACATTAAATTAATTTGTCATATAATTTCTGACATTATTATTATATTGGGAATGACTTTTTGTTTTTAAATGTAACTTTCTGTGGAATAAAAGGAATAGGGAAATAGGAATTCTAACAGATGATGCTTAGTGATGCTAAATGGTTCAATCTTTTTGTATAGGAAATTAGCAATACACATCCAGAGCCTCAGAATATACAGATTCTTTAACTCACTAAATTCACATCTAAGAATTTATCCTAAGTATAATTAATGTGCAAGGATATGTTAATAAAAATATTTACTTCAATGTTTATAACAGCTTAAAAAAACTTTTTTAAAAAATGTATCAAGTGAATTAATTTTTTAAAATGGTACATTCCTAAAAATGGAATATTATACAAATGCACATTAAAACTAATACAAATTCATTAGATATTAAATGAAAAATACAGCATGTTTTACTTAAAATATATATTGTATATCATGTATTCATACACAGAAAAAGGGGTCTTGAAATTTACATATAAGAAAGCTAATAATAATCATGCCAGGGATCATGGCCAAAATCGTTACTATTAATAATCAATATTTCCTAACTATCTTTTAATAGCCATGTTATCTTTGTATAACTTTTTTATGTAAGAGCACACCATGCAATGGAGGAAAGTAAAGCATTTAAAAAATGATCCTAGGACAATGGATATACTATTGCAAGAAAAAATAAAATGAGACCTTTAATCATACCCTAAATGACAATAAGAATAGGTGGTAGTAACTACATAAATGTGTAACAGTCAAGCCATGAAATAGTTAAGAGACTGTTTTTTAGTCTCAGAACAGGCAGAACTTTTAAAAAATAATTTTAAATGTTCCAGACTTTATTATGACACAAGCATACTAATGGTAAAAATGTCAGGTCAAGTCCTTGGACACATAAAAGCAATGGGAGAAATTTTAAAATAAGATAAATATAATGAGATACATAAACATTTAACATTTTAAATACTAAAGAAGAAACCACCAACAAAAATAAAAGGAGAAAAATATTTACAACACATTCAATAACAACATACCCTCTTTGGTTTCAAACTCATACATTAATCAATCTCCTAGACCTTACTACTTGAATAGCACAAAAAGTATCTCAAAGTAATCACAGCCAAAGGTAACTTATGACTTCCCCACTCCAAACCATCAAAACCAACACTGTCATCCAAGGAAGGAAACTATAAACCTAGGCATTACCTTGATACTTCTTTCTACCTTACCTCTTGTATATTAAACCATCAGAAAGTATAATTAATCTTACTTCCTAAAAATCTCTCAAACTCATCCACATCTCTCTATATCTACTATCACCTTGGTCCAGCAATCATCATCTTTTGTCTAGAATACTAGACTAGCCTACTAACTGTTCTCCCCACATCCATTCTCATTCCTCATCTGTAATTTAGCCAGAACAATCTTTTAAAAATAGAAATCTGACTTTCTCACTCCAATTTACCCTACTTCTGCCCCCAACACACACATACTCACTCAACCCACTGCTTAAAGGGTCAAACAGGTCCTAAATAATATGACACCTACCTACTTCTTTATTCTCACTTCCTACCTTAGTTGGCTAGCTTTCTATGTTTATGTTCTAACCACTCTGGACATCTTTCAGTTTGCTAAAATGGCTACAATCCCTTCAATTATAGATTTTACACATGGTATTTACTCTAGAACATTTGCTAATGACTAGATAAAGAGAGTTGAAGGGTTATGAATGACTTTTAAGTTTCTGGCTAGCATAACTAGATGTATACTCGAGCCATTTCTTGAAATTTTTTAAATACCAAATTATCTTCTATTATTAACTCCTCACTATTATTCCTCAAACACTTCAGACATAAAAGTACCTCAAAGTCCTTGTACTACTGTTCCTTTCACCTGGAATGATCTTTTAATTGATCTTTACACAAATAGTTACTCCTTGATATTTAGATCTCAGAATGCCACTTCAGATCAACCAGTCAAAAGCAGGCACCTTGTTGCCCTAATCTATCACTCTATTTTAATTGTCTACACTGCATTATCACTGTCTGATATTCCTAGTTATTTGTTTGTTGGGAATCTCCCCAATTAAAATATAACTCTCTGAGAGCAAAGACTTTATTCTTATTCATTCTTGTATTCCCATTGCCAACATGTAATCCTTGTTCAAGAAATATTGAATGAATGAATAATTCAGAGCCAGCATTCTCTGCTTGTAATAAAGTAGATTATCATCAACAATTGATGCTATCATAAAATATATCAAGAGATCATGGGAACTCATAATTAAGCAACTTACTGAAATGTTGTAGAGAAAGAATAAATCTGTGAACTCCAAATCAGTATTAATAGGCATTATGAAGGCAATATGGAGTAGTGGCTAAGAACATGGGCTCTGCAGTCATACCGTCGTGGTTTGAATCCAAGCTCCACCACTTACTGGGTGACATCAGGCTGGTTACCTAACCTCTCCGAGGTTCAGTTCCCCAGACTACAGGGTAAATATAACAATAGCACGTGCCTTATAGGGATGAAGTGAGGATGAAATATATATGCAGTACACAATAACAATATAATAACAATGCCTGAGACATAGACAGCAATCAATAAATGTTAGCTGCTGTTTTCTTATTGCAAAGAGCATTCACAAAAGTGGGCTTAGTGTTAGAGAACATGCAGTTTGAAGTGACTACTTCCATACATCTTTGAAGAAGATGACTCCAAATGGGTGATTTCAAACAATACACATATGATGATTTTAAAGCAGTAGAAGACTGAATAGCATATAGATAATTAGCTTGAAGTAAGAACTTCTCTCGTGCTTCTTACATACCGAGTGAGTACGGAGTGCTGCGATGGTTTTTGAAAGTGCCATTTCCCACAGTTCATCGATGTAGGCTCTATTTACTAAGCCCTGGGTTGTATGTAAAATGTGATCCTCAACCACAAAAAAGCTAAGATTGAGGAAAAAAGAAAGCACAGCTGTCAGAAATTACAGTTTGACTACTATCATAAGGGGATGACAAACATTAAGAGTTGGCATCAAATTGGAAGTTAATACTAGTCATTTTTTCTTAAAGAAAGCTGTTTGATATCACAAACAAAATCAGATTTCTTAGACTTGGAATTATACCTCTGATCATGATATCATCTTAACCACTTCTATAGCAATTGGAGTTACATTCCTATTAAATGTTAACCATGTTATCTAGAAATTTTAAAGGGAAGAAGAAAAATGTTTATAGGTAAAGAAGGCTAATTTCACTACATTAAAATCAACAGCCCATTAATACATTTTTAAAAACTAATAGAATCTAAAGAGATAATGAAAGTTAAAGCACGCATTTTCTTTAAGAATCCAACACACAAAATACTGAAATAATTCCCCTTATATAAACTTTCTCATCAAAGTGTTGAAAAGATATCTTACAAAGGTAAAAAAAAAAAAAAATACACACATATTTTTTAACATTCTTCTGTGGCTTCTTAATTTTTATGCATCTAAAATGTATCTTCAGCTTTCTTGCCTAAATATTCATACTAATTAAAACAATTCTTTAAATAGGGAATTGTTATGATACATTTTAATCAAAGGTATCAATTACACTACAACAATATAAACATGGAAAAAAAAAGAAATTTCATGGAACAATCCAACTTATTTCCCTTTTTTTTTAACTGCAAAGTCACTATTTTGCAATTAGAATAAGCTGTCTATATTTGGGATGTTTATTTGGGAACTGCAATTCCATACTGGTATATATACTCCAGATGAGGATGGCAAACTATACAGTCCATGGAACAAATCTGGCCCACTGCTTGCTTTTATAAACAGTGTTTTATTGGAACACAGCCATTGTCTTTCATTTACATATTGTCTATAGCTGCTTTCGTACCGCAACAAAGCTGAATAGTTCTAACAGAAACCGTATGGCCTGCTGAGCCTAAAATACTTTACTATTTGGCCCTTTTAGAAAAAAACTTGCCAACTTTTGCTGATTATTTGGTTCCCTTTTAACAATAATGAAAAAACAGAACATCACATATAATAAGACTACAATTCAATATTTTTCTCCCTTTATCCATAAAAAGGATTCCTCAACAATATAGAATTATGTTCCCCAACATAATTCTATGAAACGAATAGACATTCCTTTAAAATCATCAGATATTCAAAACAAATCTTGTCTTAAGAATTTAGAAATTTCCCAAAGAACACTTGATATATTTTTCCAAGTCTCACAAAAAGTGTATAAACAATTGAAAGTGTATAAATTTAAAACACACACACACACACACACACACACACACATACCCACCCTACAATTTGATTAAAATACTTCCTGTAGCCATCTAAAGTTTCATGCTGCAACAAAGCAAAGAGAAAAAAGTTATTGTTTCTGTTCTGACACATTAAGACAGTTAAAATCAGCGAATTAATTTCTTAAGGCTCAATTCCAAAGACTATAAAGTAAATATAATAATAGTACCTACCTTATAGGATTACAGTGAGGATGAAATGAGATAATACATATCTAGTACTTAGAACAATGCCTGACACATAGCAAGCAACAGATGTTAGTTGCTACTTTCTTAATGCAAGTCACATCCAGTGGTCCCAGAGTGACAGTTTGGGGTGGGGTTCGGGGGGGGAAGCCCAAATGGAAAATAATTAAAAGATACCAGAGGGCTTCCCTGGTGGCGCAGTGCTTGAGAGTCCGCCTGCCGATGCAGGAGACGCGGGTTCGTGCCCCGTTTCGGGAAGATCCCACATGCCGCGGAGCGGCTGGGCCCGTGAGCCATGGCCGCTGAGCCTGCGCGTCCGGAGCCTGTGCTCCGCAAATGGGAGAGGCCACAACAGTGAGAGGCCCGCATAACGCAAGGAAAAAAAAAAAAAAAAAGATACCAGAGAAGAAAAGTGAAAAAGGGAGAAAAGTAAAGGTGGTGATCCTACCATGTTAGAAGGAGGCTGGAGCACCAAACGAGCCTGTTTTCGCCTCTGTTTTCGGTAGTAGTTCTCAAATGTTTCCCGGGCACCCTGTAAAACAAACAAAAGGAAATGGGTTGATACATTTGGACCAATTACTCTAGTATTTTATGGGCAATTCCCAGGTCAGGAATTGAGGCAGCCCCACATTTCTCAAAATCTGCTATTTTAACACTGATAATCTTCGGAAAAATAAAAATAACTATTATCACTTATTGAACCTTACTTACAAATACCAATAGAGATGGATACAAAAAATTCTTAAGAGGAAACTACCAGAACTCAGCCTCCAACACACCAAAGCTGGTTTCTGAATCAATTATCACAAATTCACAAGAAAGACAAACCAACATTCTCATAGGTTATAACAACAGTTTAGAAAATGGTTCTTAAAAAAAAACCTCAGAATATTCTGGAATATTTATTCCAGAATAAAAACTAGTCTCAAATAAATCATGACCAAAAGGCCAAAGGGAGGCAAGAAAAAGGCAGGAGCTGAGAACATTAAGTCAGTCTTCTCAGACAGAATATAATCTAGCACAGGATTAATACCAAAAAGGAAGAAACAAAGCCCTGAAAAGTCTTAGCACACAGTTTCTACTTTTCATTTAGGGTTTCTGGGCTTAAACTGAAAGGTGCTCTAGAGAACAAAAGCTAACTCATGAGCTCTATAACTAGGGTTGAATAGTGTCCTCTCAAAATTCATGTCCTTCCCAGGACCTCACAACATGAACCTATTTAGAAATAGGGTCATTACAGATGCAATTAGTTAAATTAAGATGCAGTCATACTACAGTAGGGTGACCCTTAATCCAATATAACTAATATCTTCATAAGAAGAGGGAAATGCTATATGAAGGCAGAAACACAGGGAGAACACCATATGGTGCCACAAGCAGAGATGGGACTGATGCAGCTGCAAGCCAAGGAACACCAAGGACTGCTGGCCACCACCAGAAGCTACAGAAAGGCAAGGAAGGATTCTACCCAGAATCTGAGAGGGAGGATGGCCTTCTGTTATCCTGATTTTGGATTTCTAGTCTCCAAAACTGTGACAGAACAAATTTCTCTTATTTTAAGCCACCCAGTTTGTGCTACTTGATTATAGCAGCCGTAGGAAACTGATATAAGCTCAAAGCTTTTAAAACATGATGCTCCCCATTATTAAACTCTACTCTCAACCCAAGACTTTCCTAAATAAACAAGAGTAGAAAGGGAAAGACAGCATTACACAGTGGTTAAGAGTACTGATTTTAGAACCAAATGATTTTATTCAAACCATGGTTTTGCCCCTTACTAGCTGTATAACTCATATGACTAGCTATATAACTTCCCTTCCATTATTTTAACTTCCACTATTTAACTATTTACCTTTCACTAACAGATGTGCTATGGTTTACTCATTTGTACAGATGCCAAACTCACATGGTAGTAATAAGGATTTAGAAGAGTTATAAAGCTTTTAGAATAGTACCTGATAAATAATAACCACTATGCAAGTACTTATTTAAAACATAAATAAGATGAAATCAGTGATGAAACAGAAAGCCCAGCCCATGTGAACATAAACTCCATGAGAAACCTGGTTCAGTTTTCTTCACCTTCCCAAAAGTCTGAAGAATTTTACTCAATATGAGTTCTTTGTTAGATCCCTAAACCAGGAAAGCTGTTTAAGGTACTAAATCATGCAGCCTCAATAGGGTAGCTCAGGCGTTGGCAAATGTTTTCCATAATGGGCAGGACAGTAAATAGGCTTTGGTGAGCCATCCAGTCTCTGATGCTACTACTCAACTCTGCTGCTGTAGTGCAAAAGCAGCCATAGACAATATATAAATGAGTGTGGCTGTGTTCCAATAAAACCTTATTTGTGAAAAGTGAAATTAGAATTTCGTATCATTTTCACCTGTCATGAAATATTACTCCTCTTATGATTTTTTTTATGAATACCAACCATTTAAAAATGTAAAAGTTCACACAGGTCATACAGAAACAGGCAGTAGGCTGGATTTGGCCCATAAGTCATGGTTTGATGACCCCTGGGGTAGCTTAAAAACAAAGGCTTTAAAACACTAAAGTTATTATAACTGTACACATCTGAATTTTTCTGCCTAAAACATGAAAACAAACATTAAGAGAGCTATTTCAAGGCTTTCTTAGTCTATAAGTTAGTGAGGTAGCAAATAATTCTATTTAAGAAATAAAAAGTGGAAACTGCCTGTTGGTTTTTTAAAGCTGTTCCCCACTTGTCACCATTTCACAGCATAGAGGTATTATTAAATGTCAATTACATTCTATACACACTGAATGGCTTTTCATTTTAAGGTTAACAGCCCTAAAGCCCCTTTATTATTTTAGTGTGACATTACACTTTCAACATGCTTTCTAGCCAAGATACACTTAGCTGAGAATTTAGGGAAAGCCTTCTAATTAGAACACACTATATTAACTTAATTATTTGTTGTAAATAGTAGAAAATAAACAAGATGAAATTCTATATAAAAACCAAATCATGAACCTCTACTTAATTCTAAAGTATATACATTTTGCTTTTTCAATAAAATTAAAACATAAGAAAAGACCAATTTATCTAATAGGTCTGGCTTCCCCATTTACAAAAATAAGCTAGATTTTCCCTAGCGGGTGCTAAACAAATTCACCTCTGATTATTCTATTTCCTTTGCCAATTTTGTCAACTCAATGCTTATAGGAGAAATTTAAGAAATAGAGATCTGACCAATCCAGTTGAGTAAATGATGAAGTGCCTGTCTATTCACGAATAAGTCAACAGACAATGAACTATAGAGTTCTGCCACTTCAGCCTCAAGCTCCTTTAATCACTCAAATGAAAAAACAAAACACAAACCAAAAAAGCCACCTCAAAAGCTACTGAAGGTATAAACAAATAGATATAAAACAATAGGCAGGCAAGGGAAAAGTTGTTCTGTTTTTCATTTTATGTCATTAGTATGACAGTGCTACAAAGGCTGTATAATAATTAATGAATTAATACACACAATGTCACAGAAAAATTAGTCACAGTGTATATAAAGTGCTCACCATGTGATAGACACTGAGAATCTCCTCACTGAATTTATAGTCTATGGTGGAAGACTAGAAATTAAGCAAGCAATTATATTAAAATTATATTAGAATCCTATGTATTGAAGTGGGATGTATGTCTGAGTGTGTGTGTGTATGCGTGTGCGCATGTGCACTTAGGGGGTGGGAGGAATGTTAGAGAAAGATTCTCAGGAAAAAAATGACATTTATACTCATAATTGAAGAATGACTCAGAAGAATAAGCCAGGTAAACAGAAAGGAAAAAAAAAATGTTCCTTGTAGAGACAGAAGTTCAAAGAAAAAAGGTATCACATATCCCATGAATTGAAAGAAGTTCTTCATGGCTGGAACTTCAGGGTGTAAAGGAGAGGGATGACAAGAGACGAGGCTGGAGGACTTTGTAAACCACGTTAAGATATTTGGACTTCAACTCTAGTTTTAGACACCTGGAAGTTGTAATATAGTGAGTACAATAAAGGAAGGGGAAATTAGCTACAAAAAGATCAGTCAGAATCTGACATATATTTAGGAGGCATAAGCCAATTGGATATATGTGATAAAGGACATGAAGGAAAGAAGGCTGATGTGAGGTTTCTAACCTAGTTAACTAGTTTGGTTGGTGGCGTCATTTAATGAGAGAGGAATCAGAAGGAAATACAGTTAATTATTACCCATGGTTTCCTAATTTGCAAATTTGCCTACCTGCTAAAATTTATGTGTAGCCTCAAAATCAATACTCCTGGCACTTTCATAGTCATTCAAGGACGTACACAGCGTGGGGAAAATTTTGCGTTGCCCGATGCACATGTTCCTAGCTGAGGCTGAACAAAGCAACACTATTCTTTCTTATTTCACTTCACACACTACAAACAATTATTCTTTTCATGGTCTATCTAGTGCCACATTTTTCAAATTTTTGTGCTTTTTAAAAATATTTGAGGCATAATTGACATAACATTATATTAGTTTCAAATGTACAACTTAATGACTCAATATTTGTGTATACTGCAAAATGATCAACAAAATAAGTCTAGTTAACATCTATCACCATGTAGTTATACATACTTTTTTTCTTGTAATGAGAACTTTTAAGATCTGCTCTCTCAGCAAGTTGCAAATATATAATACAGTATTATTAACTATAGTCACCATGCTGTACATTCCATCCCCAGGACTTATTTATTTTATAACAAAGTTTGGACCTTTTGACCACCTTCATGCAATTCCTCCAACCCCTACTCCCTGCCTCTGGCAACCACCAATCTGTTCTCTGTAACTATGGGTCCAGATGGGTTTTGTTCATTTATTTAGATTCCACATATAAGTGAGTTACAACAGAGTATCTGTCTTTCCCTGCCTGACTTATTTCACTTAGTATAATGACCTCAAGGTCTACTCATGTTGTCACAAATAGAAAGATCTCTTATTTGAAATCTTTATATGACTGAATAATATTCCATTGTGTATATATGTACCACATCTTTATCCATTCATCTATTGATGGATACTTAGGTTGTTTCCATATCTTGGCTATTGTAGATAACACTGCAACATGGGGATGCATTTATCTTTTCGAGTTAATGTTTTTATTTTCTTTCGATAAATGCCCAGAAGTGGAATTCCTGGATCATATGGTAGTTCTATTTTTAATTTTTTGAGGAACCTCCATACTGTTTTCCAGAGTGGCTGAACCAATTTACATTCCCACCAATAGTGCAAGAGTGTTCCCTTTCATCCACAACCTCACCAACACTCGTTATTTCTTGCCTTTTAGATAAGAGTCATTCTAACAGATGAGGTGGTATCTCATGGTGATTTTAATTTGCATTTTCCTGATGTAGAGCTCCCTTTCATGTACCTGTTAGCCACCTGTGTGTCTTGCATTTTTGTGCTTCTTGTTCGTGATTTTGCTATTTAAAATGAACCCCAAACGTAGTACTGAAGTGCTATCTGGTGTACCTAAGCTCGAGAAGGCAAGATATACCTTACAG